TGGACATTTTTCTAAGATTAAGTAGATTAGTTGGTCACCAAAACCAATTTAAAGATGGGTATGTGAAGTTGATGAGATTTTTGTGTGTATTTTTCTTTTGAATATTATGTATCAAATTTTTATTTTACTTCATATATAAATGGAAAAAAAAAACCTTATTCCTTGTGTATTAATCTTATTAAAATCTATCAACATGCTCAACATAACTTTTACTAAAAATATAACAAGGAAAAGACATATGGAACCCACAACAAACAACATTAATAATAACATATTCAACGTAATTTTATAAGTGTGGAATAGAAAAAATATTTTCAATAGACCCTCGACTCAAAAGAAAAGTTTCTGGAGTTGGATGGAAAGGAATGAATGGATCAAAAGTGCATATTGCAATAAATTAAAAGTTTTATATATTTAATTATATATCACAATAACCAATTATATAATTTATCAATAATCTAAGGACAAAATGTATTATCAAACAAAAAAGAAAATGTTAATAGTATGTAATTGTTTTGTCGGTGATAAAAATTTTAATTTTCTTAAATCTTTAAATTATCCTTTGTTATAATTTGGATATATTGTTCATAATGTGACAAACTTTACAAGTTTCTAGAATGTCCTATTTTTAAAATTACTTAATGCACTATAATATTCTTTTATTAATGAAAATGGACCAAGTTCATGTACTTGCCAACACTCACATGGTTGGTATATACTCTTTATGTTATTCCTAAAAGATACCTTTTTAATAATCGAAAATTTTCAAAAATCAATGGTTTGAGATTTAAAATTAGTCGATAATAAGCTCGTTTTTATTTATTATTTTCTCTACTTAAATATTAGACTTTTGCTGATAAGTTCGTGTTGAAGGAAGTCACAAAAACTATCTGAAGGTTCTCTTTTAACTTGAGTCGTGTGTCATGGACAATATACTATCATTATATTTCATCTTATGTAGGTATATGTCTCAAGATTCAATAATTTTTTCTAACGTAAAGTCAAAAGTGAAAACTTAAAAAAATTACTTATTGCACTCTTATCACTAAACTAAAGTCGTAAAGACAAAGTTTACAAAAGAGCTTTTTAACACATTAGTTTTCAGCCCACAAGGCTGGGCCTAATACATGAGCTTGGCCCATTATCATTAATACACAATTGGAGACTAGGTGGTAGCGGGTGGGTTCATTATATATGATATTTGAGTTTTTCGAAATTTAATATTTTTCGTTTAGATGGTGTATATGTATAAAGAAATTTATTAAATATTTATAAATATTTGATTAGAAACTCAATTTTTATGTTATATTAACTCAAGATTATTATAGAAATTTATAAACTTTAAATTCTAAATCCGTTTTGGTGACAAATTAAAACTCTATACTGCATTATGTGCTCAACATTAAAATTGTTTAGAGAAAATCTGAAGAATTGAACCAAATCCAATATCAGCTCTGTTTTCCCCTAATATCAATCTATTTTTCTGTCACATGGAAATTAAGAACTTTACTAAAAAAACCTTGTATTTTATCCGTCATTAAGTAAAATATTGTAGATCAAGAGGTCACTAGTTCGAACCCAATAAGGTCCTTTCCACTCCCTATTTATTTTCTTACCTTATTGTATTGAGGTGCGAATTTGAGGGAGCACAAGGGGTTCAGCAAAACCTCCTTCGAAAAATTAAACTGTATACTATCCATAATACAAATCATTCAATTAAAAACTTCATATGTTCCATATTACTGAATTACCAAACCATGAAAAAGTATACAAAATCCAATCACAAAAACTATATATATGCAAAAGAAGTTGCATACATGCATGTTGAGAATCTAGGCACCTAATACTAAGTTTGTAACGACTTCATAAAGTAACAACATCACTCTGTATTCACTGATTTAAAATCTTTTAAGTATGCGTACGATAATACATACAATTATTCAATTGCAAATAGGGCAATGAATCAAACCATTCTCATTACACTCAGGACATCTCTCCTTAATATCCCCATTCACAACTTTACAACTTCCTCCACAATCAAAACATGGTACAAACCTAGCACCACCACACCCTTCACATCCTAACCTCCCCACACCCCTCTCCACCCTAGCCCAATTCAATATCCTCCCGAGTCGCTTCGTCTCGTTCAGGTGCACCACTTCCTCCACTCCGCCAATGTACCTCCCTTTCACAAACAACCTCGGTACTCCCGTATCCTCCCCATCTCCAAGCAACTCCTTCAGCTCTTGACGAAACTCGCCATGCAATGCCACGTCACGCTCGTCAAAAACCACCCTATGAGATTCCAAAATTAACCTCACTTTATTACAATCCTCAAATGTGCGACGCACGCCACCTAGTGACGTCGTGTAGACGACCAATGAGTCATCGCCACGTGGCGGGCACTTTTCGGGGTAGTCACTTAAAGGGTTAAACTTTATAAAATTTGGAACATTCCCTTCTTTTTCCCTTTCCATTTTGTCCCTCAACAAAAATATATTCTCTTTTACTGGCTTGTACCCTTCATCAGAGTGAGTCCTTTGATGTGCTACTTCCCCATTATGAACAACAATTTGTGAATCATTTTTTTTGTTGAATTTTTGGAATTTTTTATTTTCATCTTTTTTTTTGAATTCATTGTTTTTTTGGGAATCTTTTGATGATAATTTGGATTCAAGTTCTTCAAGGGTATGAAAGGAAAAACTCTTTCTTGGAATTTTTCTTTTTGGTGAACCGCCGCAGTCTTCCGCCGCCTCGGGTGGCGGTGGAGGCGGCGCCGGTAGGGCAAGGAGGGTTTTTTTAGGTGATTTTTTTGGTGGTGGATTTTGTAGAGTGGGTTTTAAATCTTCTAAGGCTTTGCTAACTTCATCCCAAGATTTAGGAGAATCATCAATAGAAGAGTTGAGTTTTTCAAGAATTGGTTGTACTATTTTTATTGGCTTCTCATCTTCGTCTAGCTCGTCTTGATCCAACTCATCTTCTTCGACCTATTTTGAATATTAATATATCATGTCAAATCGTTGAAATTATTAATAGTCTTTCAAATAAGGGCAGAGTTAGAGGGGAGAAATGAACTTCTCTGTCAAATTTAAAAACATCATACCATAGTCTATATACACATAAAATCAATGTTTTTTGTTTTTAAAATTCTAGCTCCACTAACGTCTGATTTGGGACAACAATTGTATTTATAAATGCTTTAACATAGTAATATTTTTTTTGGAAATGAAACAGATCTAAAATATTTAGGGAATATTCAATAAAATGCAAATTAACTAGGATGTCTATACATAAAAGTTATATATTGTATGAGACATTTGAAGCTTAATATAGGTAAAGCCTTTACAATAACAAATACTCCTTCCATTACAAATTATCTGTTGTATTTCTTATTTACACGTCTTTTAAAAAATATTAATTTTAAGAGATTTTTGAACATTGTACCGTTATTTATGTCTTAAGATATAATCTCTCTCCCATTAAATATTTATTCTTCTGAATTGTTTATAGTCTTCAAGAACAATTACTATTAAGGACAAACCGAGAAACTAATTATATGTTGAGAGAACTATTTCTTAGAAATCATGACAGATAATTGAGACGAAGGGAGTAATGTTCAATTCTTATTAGTTTATCACTCCTATTCTTTCTTTTTTTTGTGTGTGGAAGTTCATAACTAGTAAACTAAGTAAACAATACCGTGTTGTTGTTGGCACCTTTGAGCCATGGCTCTTCAATGGAGTTGATATCGAAGACGGCGAAGCTCGTCGGCGGAGGACGGTAGACGTCGATGGCAACCTCTATTCTCTTGGAGGAGGCACAACCCATACTTGACAAAATTTACTTTGAATTTCAATGAAATATGATGTTTTTATAAAGTTGTGAGTTATGCTAGGAGGAGTACATACATATGGATATAAGTTTGGCTTTTTTAAAAAATGATATATGTGGTGTTTGGTATTGCCAATTGGTATTTAGACAACCAATTGAGAATTTAGACAAGATTTTGGATGAATGGATCTTGAGAGGACACGTGTCATATATTTTTATTTTTTTATTTTTATTCTTGATCTATTATCCTTAACCATGAGAAAATAAAATGAATTGAAAAGTAATATAACTCCAATTGTGGATGGAACTTAGGGTGTGTTTAGCATAAAGAAAAAGGTTATTCATTTTTTCATAATGAGAAAAAAAAAAAAGTTTCATAAGTAGCTTTTTATCTCTTCTTTTGCTTTTGATTACTCATTCCTGTAGTGTTTGCTTAAATTATATAAATTACTCTTAAAATAATACTTTATTTCTTCTTATTTATAAATATAAAAAATAACTTATTTTTTTCAAGTAAATATTTTTCTCTTGCCAACATCTAGGATAAATAATAACAAAGCTTAAGCGAGTTTCATTTCTACCCGTTAAATTATTATATATTTAACAAATTTTTCATTATAAGTATAAAATCTACACAACTGAGTTTTCGAAAACCCGCTCCCACCACCTAGATTTGCCCTTTGTAGATAGAGTAGGCATTGAAATGGTGCTAAATTTGGGATGTGGTAGCAAGGGACATAAGAGGGCCATCCTGTTATAATGGTACTTGGACTTTATGTGCTTAAAAATTTGGAATATAGCACCAACCCACAAATATACTACTTTATTTTAGTGTCATTTAGATTTTAGACCACATGAAACAAAATGCCAAAATTAACATATGGCCTACTTCATTTTCTTCAATTAATATCAACCAGAAACATTATTTGTCCATACGATTAATGGTTGGAAATGTGTAATAATGTAACGCAATTACTATCAATACTATACACTCACCTCTATTACAACACGCAAAGGCATCTGTTTCGTCGAACATCGAGCTTGTGGTCCTTTTAAGTAGAAATATATCTGTTCAGTCAAGGTAAATCGTGAACGTACGTAGCAGTAAGAATGATGCATCAAGAAGATATTTGAAACACCATGACAATGACTACTTTTCAGAGACGGGGTCGAAAAGAGCTATTTCTACTACATGTAAAATCATAGAAGGTTCTCTTTGGTGTTTCCAAAAACCAGGTGCCTCAAATTAGAGAACATCTGCATTAGCCAAGAGAACAGGCATAATAATGCATGTAAACCAAAGTTAACCAATTTACCCAAAAGAACATGTCTCCTACTGTTTTAAGTACTTCAAATATTACTACTGCATGTAACCAAAACTAAAAACTAAACTAAGACTTCGACTCCAATTTCTTGATGGCTTGTTCAACTCCAGGAATATTCTTCTTGAAAGTTGCCCATTGCTCAGCTGTCAAACTTATCCCTGCAGGGGACACAAAATAAGTATCAGCAGAGGTGGTCCTATGGTCTTTTTTTATCCTTTGCAATTTCATCTTTGGATGAAATCAGGAGGAAAAGGATTACGAGATGGGGAACCGAACCCTCACCAACAAGGTGAAAATTCCGATAGTGGAACTAAGAGGAATACAACATCTTATAGAACAGCATAAAGTACCATAATTTCCAGTCCTTGGCCTTATGATGAACCTGGCACTTGTTAGTTTCGAATGAAGAATCAAGCACCTACTTCTAACAGAAAGCCCTTTTTGGCATCCCCAACAAATCATCAGTACCACCATCATCCGTTTCTTTTGCTTCTAAAGTTGGATCATTCATTGGCTAAGTTTAACACCTCTTATGATAAAAGAAGAAGAGGAGAAAAGCAGAGAAGAACGCAAACTAGCAGTTGTAGTTGTACATTCAACAAAAGATCAGAAAGTATCTAGGTGGTCCAATAAATTCCTTGCAGATAACCAGTCTAAACTCTTCCCCCAAAAACCTTTTTCTTTTTGGTTGTTGCGACTTGTGTGTGGTCAGAAATACTTGTTGGATGCTTTAAACAAATGCTGGTCTCAAAATTAATAACTGAGGTTTTCTACCAAGCAAATGGAGTCTAGAAAAAATGATGAAGAAATCTCAAGATTTTCATTTTTTACTTCCAAAATTGTATCTTCTGATTAATCTAGTTTCCAACATGATATAATTAGCTATGTTGGTGGGACCACTGTTAATTCCGGATGATGGAGTTGAATAACATATGGATAGAGGAACATAGAGGTGGAAAAAACCTCCATTGCAGACAGTGGTGGACATGTTGTTAAGATGGACAAAGATAGAGATAAAATGACAGTTAATATGGAGTAGGTGGGAAACAACTAAAATCAAATACTAACAAGGTTCCTTTTGAATCAGCTAAAACCACTAGACAATACTAGAATGTAGCCATTTATTTAAATGAACAACTAAAAGAGCAGAATGTAGATAGCTTTCGAGACACCATACAATACTCCCCGAAGTGGCATAAAAAAATAATAAGGCCAGAAGCACTCGCTCCAGGACTTATTTTATTTTTTATATAAACTGCCACAAAATGGGGAAGAAGTGCTCAAGGTAAAAACCTTTAAATTCTTCTTTATTGACCATAAAGTGATAGGGCCAGAAAGTGCTTATAATCAGTGAAATTCTGTTCTTGTTTTTATCGTCTCTTGACTTTATCAAGTGACAGCAGTAGAGGAAGCCAATAAAATCATGTTTAGGTAGCCTGGGAATCCTTATTTTTTTTGGGGATAGTTGAGCACTAGTATGAAAACTGTTTGCACATTCACCACATTCTACAACAAAGGGCATAAAAGCACACATGTATCATGGTCGTGGTACAACAAGCTAATAATACCTTTTAAGAGATAAACTTTGGGCAAACAGAATATAAACAAGAAGCCAGCAAGTTATGAAATTCTTCTGTGAAGTTCTTTCTACCCCATATAACATAGGAAATGCAATTCAGAGCAGCATTACGATGGATAGCAAATAGCTGAACATTTTAAGACCAAGCAATACGGAAATGTACTTTTCTTCTTGTAGTGATCCAAACCACAAGCATGGTGCGATTTAACTTCTCAATGCATAAAGAATTTGCTTTACATCTACGATTTAAAGTTTTTCACCAGACTTATTTCTAACTAAAGCAATCAGCCAATCACTTAAGCTTATCTCAAATGAAAAAACACACAAACTTATGTATGCAAATTCATAATAAAAAATCAAACAAAATGATTATTACCTTTAGAAGTAGGCAACTCCTTGCCCTCTTTGCTGTAGTACTCTCTTATCGACACCAGAGTTTTTCCCCTAAAGTCAGTAACAGTCACTCTTCTCTTATGCGACAACTACATTGAATTCCCAAAAAAACATCAAGAATATATTTTTATCAACCCAAAAAGGAACATCAAGATACATTAGCTTAGCAGCAATAAAACAACAGAAAACAACAAACATTTCACATCACATTATGATAAGCCCTAATAAGTACTCTAATGACTGAGTTCCAAGTACTAGGATTAATGCATCAGTTCCATCATGTCAGCCAATATAGATTTTCAAGTTCTTAAACTAGAGCTTCTTATATTTATCTTTCCTCTGTTGACTATCAATCAATCATTTTTGTTTTTGTAAGAACAGAAATCCCCTCCCTCATCTTGCAAGTACAAGTAAGCAAAAACTCAGAAAGTTGATCACTTTCTCATCTTGCAGGGACTCTTAGGTGCTTAAAATTTAAAATTTTCATAAATCATAATCCAAATAGAAAATTGTTTTAAAAAATAAATCTTTCTTTAACATTTAATTTCTTAAGTGTTTAAAAAATGACAATCGGAACCAAGTACAAGGGCCTCCTGGATCATTCCGCCAAACAGATAATAACCAAAACTACAAGAGTAAAGAGCATTTCAGAAAGCAGAATTACAGCAGTTATGAGAACTCACTCGGCAAACGATGAGATCGCCTTCGTCATCGTACTCCTTATCACCGCTGCTTTTCACTTTGCCGTCCTCCTCTTCTTCATCCTCCTCCTCCTTTACTTCATCAGCAGCATTTGCCTCACGTTTTGCTTGTTCTTCAGCAAGGAACTTCTCCACCACCTGCCGGACAAATTTCTTCCGGGTCGGTTCGGATAGGTCAAGACCTAGCTTTTCTGAAGCCATTCTTCGGATTTTTTGCTCCGAAACTTCTTCCAGGTTACAGGTTTTGAGGATATCGAGTACTGTTTCTTCGATTCTGATGGAAGTTTCAGAATCCATTTCGAAGAATGTTGTGGAATTTCAAAAGGTTTTTGCAGGGGCGGAATTTAGCTCAATTGGGAAAGTAGATGAAAAGACTCACTCTACTTAGGTTTTTGTGATTTTGCAGGGGTGGATTTATAGTAACATTTACATTTATTACATGCTTTTCATCTGTTCATTTTCACTTGTGTATTATTAATTTGTTCGCATACTCTCAAAATAAAAATAAATTAAATGATAATTTTGAAAGTATCAAAATAATTAATATTATTGTCCAAAATAATCAAATCATAAATAACACTAGCATAAGCATGAGACTTTTGGATGGTATCAATGAATCAAATGGCAGCAACAATAGAATTTAAGATGGAGGAATAGTAATTCTCTAGATCTAGCAAAAGAGGAGAAACGAAAGATTACTACGAGAGAAAGAAGGTGACGGACTAATCGTCATATTCGACCTTGTAAAAAACATGTCTCATCAATGAATTGAAAAATGACTATAGTTAATAATAAGAATGAATTAGAATTTAAAAATTAAATGATTACTTTTCTTTTAATTTTTTAAGTTGAACAAGTAAGAATAAATATTTATATTTAGTATAATAGACCGTAAAAATGTATGAAGAGAGTACCAAATACTCTAACATTCTAAGTTTGTTGAGGAGAGTTCACTCTTTTTTTGAAATTTTATCCAATAAATTGTTTAGATATAGAATTATTATAATTTTCCGAAATTTTGTGAACTCCATAACGATTTTTTCACTCTATCATTTTAAAAAATTTAAAAATTAATACCGCCCTTCAGGCAAAAACCCGGCATACATAAGTTTTTCCCCAAAAATTTAATAGATAGATCCAAGTGTACTCATGTTGCAAAGTGTAAACTAACAACATACCTAGTGTAGTCCCCGCGTGGAGTCTGGACTAGTTGCAAACTAAGTAGTATGGTTGAAAATTAAAACAATATAGTTTATCTTGATTAGAGTTGCTAACACAAATAACCATTTTGGGCTTATATAAATACACACAATTCAAGTTTTCATCACAAAAAAGCCTATAGAGAGCCAAGGAAACTGCCAAGTTAGTAGCTTAAACTCCGTGCTCAGCCAAACTACCTCTGATCTCTTGAAATTAACTTCCAACAGTTAGCTCTTCGATCTCTTCGTTCCATTCTTTTTCGTGCTGCAAAGTTTGATATAAGATGAAAAGCATAAGTTATGAGTTACTAGCTTTGAAGAAGTTCTCTCAAGTACTTGAGAGCTCATAACATGGTCGGTGAGGATTGATATAGCTGAGATTGAGGCGTAGTAATAGCAGTAGTTGTTGTCATTTTACTGTGAATGTTCCGCTAAATATTGGTTGGTAAGGACTAACATAGGAAGACAATGAAGGCAATATAGTGCATGAAATAGTCAATCAAGATCAGGGAGACAAAATGTACTAGAGCAACTAAGTTTTTATAATAATGGACTGGGACGATAGACGCCAACTTGCTTGGGATTGAGTAGTAGTTTTTGACATTTTTTATGTCATTTAGGCTACGTTTAGACAATCAGTAGAATGGAGTAGCAGAGTGTTTGCGGCTGCTTGTGTGAGATTTGGTGATGGTTTAGATCTTCTGGTATGATATGCCAGATTACAACAATAACAACATACCTACTGAAATTCCACGGGTGGGTCTATAGAGGGTAGAGTGTATGCATAACCTTACCCCTACCTCGTGAAGGTAGAGAGGCTATTTCAGAAAGATCCTCGGCTAGAGAAACGACTATTTCCATTTTATCATTCCGCTATCCATCAGCAAGTATCTTGTACTAATAATTTCAAGTTAAACTACTCATTATATCAGCAGACAGTCGACAATTGCTAAGCACAAAGAGATGAAAAGAGCGGAAATAGACTAATTAGATCTATACCTTGATTGAACCTCAGCATCAGTTCCGACAGAACTAACTCTACCGCCTTTCCCAGAGACAACTTCATCCATGCTTTGTCCAAACCTTTTGTACCTTCCACCAGAAGCAACAAAAGCAGGGCAAGGCCTGTAAGCCTTTATCGGCCACCAACCAAAACCTGGAACTGTTGCAATCCCTCCTTGTATCCGTCCTTCACCATTACAACCACTTTCAATCTCCACTCTCCCACAACCCTTACATGCTCTGTGAACACATCAAATTCAATTCATTAACATTGCAGAATATGTTTGTTTACATCAGCAACCACTTGAACGAAATAGCGTAAAACAAAATCATAGTCAAGATATCTATAGTGAGACTACAGTTTCCCAAATTCAGCCCTCTGTAACTATTAAACTTGCCATGGAAAATTCACATTCTAATGTAGCAGAAACACATTCTACGGTTTGAAAGGAAGTAAGATCTCTCAAGACTGAAACATCTAATCCAAACATATTTTTTCGATGACAAGGGATACCCGCAGCCACTACCCTTTGGGTGTGCATAGTGTAAAACCCCCGCTCCTATGCAATAGCTCACAAACCACACAGGAGAGGTAACCAATTTGTCTAACTTAAGCGAGTCTCATTAACTGTTAGTTCAATATTAAGCTTTTGAACCAAATAGTAGCACAAGTGAACTTGATAATTGAGAGAGAGGTCTGTTCTAAAGACGAAAATTAAACACCAAGTTTTGAACAGTATGTCACTGGTCCTCTGTAATTTATCGATTATCAAAAAGTTAGAGAGATAAAGGTCTGTTCTAAGACAAAAATTAATAAATAAAAAGTATCACATCTCTAACAAGAATCACACATTTCTAACACTTGTTAACATTCCAGATGCGAAGGCTTTAGCTATAACTAGCTGCAAAATTCCTCAAAAGGGGATAATTTTCAAGAAATAAATTTTGCAAAGCAGAAAAATTGAGCATACCCGGGAGGTAAAATTGAACTAGATTCTTCGTTTATCGAAGCTGAAAGAACATCGTCACTAGACCCATTTTCTTTTTCTTCTTCTTCAACAAGTGGAGTTGAAGAAGTTGAAGAAGAACAGAGAAAGGGCAATGTAGGCCACTTATTGTTAGTGAAAGAAACTTGTTTGGGTGATAAAATTTGCAACTTTTGGGATGGTAGTGTTTGGACGGAGAGAAAGATGGAGCTGCTACCGCCGGTGGCCATGGTGGTGGCGGTGATCATCTTCTCAGCCACTCTGCTCCGCTGTGCTCAGTCCCCGGAACCTTATGGCTGGTGATAATGTTTGTTATTGGACATCATTTTGACACCAAGGAAAAGGCAAAACAAAAATGATAATTTTTTATTTTTTTTTTGAAAAAAGGAAATAATAATAGACCTATGGAATATTTTTTTTTATTTTCAGTAAACAACTATATTATATTAGTTCGAAAAGATAACATTTGTACCACGTTATTTGCTACTACGCAGGCAAAGTATAGTTAAAATTTTGTATTTAGGTAAAGATTAAAGATGACGGTAGGATTACGCGTTGCTTTTGATACAAGACGGACAAAAAGAAGGAATCCATCTCCGTGAGACCTTGACCATGAAAACATTTGGAAATTTTCACTTTGTCAAACTGTGCATGTGTATTGCCAAGAAAGTTAGCAAAGCCAGAAATTCATGGCAAGAAACTAGTGATATCTAACCATCAACGATGGAAAAAGTAAGGAAAAAGGAAGCAGGAACTACATAAAATAATTATATGGAGATTCCCGGGGAAGTCAATTCTACTATAAACGATCGCTATACCACTTTCCAATTTCAAAAGAATAATCAATCTTCTTCACAGTTTGTCTTCTTTAATCCTATCCCTGCACAGCTTGTTGCCCAGCACCTCCATGGATGAGCATCACTGAGCAGTGATGATGGACCATGTACCATCTCCCATTATGGAGTTCAAACATGTTCGTCACGTTACCTGATCCCATATTAAGATAAGCTTTCATAGTCACCCAAGCCGAATCTGTCATTACTCTTGCCTTCACGTCTCTAATTTCAAAATCAACATTCTGCTCCCAGTTAAAAGCCAGTTGCCAGCTACCAATGACTGCATTGTGACTGCATTGGCAGATACGTTTTAGAATCAACTCAACATGTGCTGAACGATATAAAGACGTAGAAATGAAATATGTCACACAAACATACTAGTCAGCAATTGCATTACAACTGCATTGGCAAATAAATTCTAGAACCAACTAAAAAGACATGTTGGACGATATAAGGACATGGAAAGTATACATGTCACACAAAAACATTCAATCACTCTAGTGAACTTGCATTAGGGAGAGCTGCCAATACTTAAAGACTTTGCAATTGCTATGATGACGGTAGCATCTTAGTAGAACAAACCAATATCAAATATGGAGGTATGGGACTTAGAACAAGCTTATTAGAGGAAAAACAGAACCAGAAAGGCATCAGGCAAATATATTTTCTAATACCCTCCCTTATGTCTAATCCAATTGTAGGGTTAGATGTGTGCTTGGACAGTTCTTTTTCACCTTTTCTTCTTATTCTTTTTAGGAAATTGAAGTAGCTTGACAAGATGAAGAATGGGCCTCAAAAGTAGGTTAACTAATGGGTGGAAGAGTGTGCTTGGCAATGAACGAGAAGGCTCAACACGCAAAGACTGGCTAAAACAAAGTTAATGGTACGAGGACCAAATTGTGGGAAAGAAGCCCAAATACAAGTAAAGAAAAATTGTGGTATCAGGCTCACTAAGTTTGACTCAAATTACCATGTGCAAGAATCCAAGCATCTATCCAAGACCTTAATGATATGAATAGAGTAACCCAAAGACCTTAATGATATAAAACATTTGGAAACCCTCACACCAACAACATAGATAGAAGCTACACACAACAAATATGAAAACAGAATAATACAATAAATTTGAACCTAATTGCAGCGCATTTATACCCTAGGAGGAGGGGTTTGTTCTCCTCTTTCAAATATATAAAAGTAGATTTTTCGATAAGATATGTAAAAGTAGATTTCCAGCCAAGCTAAACCAGCAAGAACTCAACCTTTTTGCAAATAAAAAAGAAAACGACCATACAAAAACCTCCTAAAAGTGGACAACAAAAGACATACAATGCCCAGAGAACCAAAGTCAAGAGACTTGGTTGTTCCAGGGGGGAGCATCACAAGTTTGTCATATGAAAATATTATAGAAATTT